AGGGGGGGGGAGGGGAGAAGAAACCCTGCTGGTCTCTCGATGCCGCGCCGCCGATGTCTGGCGTTCGGGGGCCAGGGGCCGTCGTCGGGAGGAGGCGAAATCGGCAAGAAACGGACTGGAACTTGCCCTTCGCAAGTCTCGACTGGTGGTTGAGACAGACCTAGCGGGGCGCAAAAAGCGCGACGGGAAGTGCGCGGGAAGGGTACAGCAGGTGCCGGGCACATGTTCGCGGGGAAGGAAAAAGAAATGGGAACCCGGAGTGTCTGCGCCGGGCGCGCGCTGCGGGCCCCGTATGACCGCCCGCCCACCCGCCCGACGGCGACGAGGTCGCCGTTCCGTCTCTTTTCCTTTTCCCGCCTTCGCTTTCTCCTTCCTCTTCTTTCCTTCTTTCCTTCTTACTTCCTTTCTTTCTCCATTTGTGCCTAAGCACAAATAAACTGCACGAATGAATGGGACTCCGCATAGGGTCTGTGACCTTTAAGCGCAATATTTTCGATCAGTCCTCGTCTGTCTGTTTATCGTAGATCCCCAAGAGAGCTAGGAAGACATGGTCCTGGACGCGGTATAATATTTGGAATTCTTGGCCTTTCATTCATAATCTTGGACTACCACAAACTGAAAGACTGCTTTTGGATTTTTAAGTTCTCGATTGTTAGGCTAATGGCAGAGAACGAAAAGAGAGACCGAAAATAATAAAAATATCAGTATTCGTTCATTGACGAATTCATCACTGCATCGATATTCATCACTGAATCGATGTCGATTTATCTTATCATTTCTTACTGGAAACACGATTTGCATTGAACGAATGAATGATAACTCTTGAGAAAAAAAAACGAATTTGAGACAGTAACGTTCTTAATTTTATTATTTATAAGTATTATATTTCTTTTAAATAGAAAAGCTTTTAAGGTACTTAGAGAGTAGGATATAAAATTGTTTGTTTACTCACGTCATTTTTTTTTTTAATTTATATATCTAAAGTATATAGGATATTTAAGATAAGAGACGCGCCAATTACATAATTCTAGAATTATTGAAGCTTCGTCAGTAAAGTATAATGACGTAATAAGTGACTTCACGAAATTGTTTCTTTATTTCAGGATTATTTGCAAGGCTGCCTGGAGCAGATCGAGGAGATGATTTCACAGGCTGCTCACGTGAGCACCGAGGTCCCCGGAAACGGAAGCGGGCACCAGACAATGAGCGCCGGAGTCTCGAGCGCACCGCAGCAGAGGCCGCTGGGGGACCAGAACACGAGTCAGGAGAAGATACTGGAGCACGAGAAGGCGGGCACGCCGACCGACGTCAGGGATGTACATTTTTGAAAACCGCAGCAGGGGGACACTCCGTAGGGGCCGACACATTGGTGAATCTGACAGCCGAGGAGAAGTTACCTTCCAGCGAGGAAGAGACGGAGAATGATGATGATAATAACGACGGACAGCCAAGGAAGAAGCATAGAAGAGTCGTGGAGGAGCAGCAAGATGTTCTGGAAGTAACGAAATGTAACGAACCAACTGGTCGTTCGGAGCGGGGAACTCCTCCCGAAGAATCTCGAGATCGAACTTGATTAATCGTTAAATTGCGTTTGATTGAAAATTACGACGCGAATCGTCGTTAAGCCATAGGCATGTGTAGAACATGTTTTAAATCATGGATATGAGGTTTATTTCGATGTAAGATTGACAGGGCGTACCTGTGCAAGAGAGAATTTTTTCTTGGGTTTATTTCGGAGATTACGTACGCAACGATACGTTCTAGATCGACTGACGCAATGAAATTTTGGTTTTTTTTCCCATAGCTATGGCTATTTATAATGTCTCGCGTATCATATATTTATTTGACATATACGTTCACATCGTTCTCATCGGCGAATATATATTTCATATTTTAATCGTATTTTAAAAGATTATTTTCTAAAATTGCTTCAACTTCGCGAGACTCGCGAACTGCAAATCGGCAAGTCGAGAAACAGTCAGCTCGCCGTTTTTCCGATTAATTTTCCAATCGAAGGACGATCCGAGGGTGGTGACTAAACAAATGCAACGTTTCGACCGTGAAACTATTGTTTGAGACGCCAGCCAGGTAGATGAACGAGAATAAACGAGAAGAATTAAACCACGATTAAAAACGTTCTCGAGATGATGCGAAAGAAATGTGAGAGGCTGAGGACCGCTGTGCGAGAGGGATCCATTTGTGTCTGAATCCGCGCTGTTCCGACGTGTGTCGCCCGATGTGTGTAGAAAAAGAAAAACAGGGAAAAAAAAGAGAAAAAAGAGAGATAGGGAGAAAAGAGCGTAGGAATCAGGAAGGCGTGCTGTTTTGGGGGAAGGCAATGCAATACGCTTTACGCATTTGTAATTTTGTAATAGGAATATACACTTAACTTTTAGGCGACAAGACAAGAAACTACCGACAAGAAAAAGACGAAAGGGAAATGGTGTAAGTTGGAGGGGGAATTCGCGTTCTTCCGCGCGCGAGCATTAAAAAGAAAAAAAAATTCACTTAGTCATATCCACAGTCATATCTTGTACATACATAGGCATATATAGGCGTACGAATAAAGTGAATATATATATTATATCGAAAAAATATATATATCTATATATACATGTGTAAACTGATGAGGGGAGAAGGGGAGAGAAAACAAAGAGAATAATGCACGATAAAAGCGGAAAAAAAAAATGCGAGATGGCAATCGAATAGGAAACAGGGAATACTTGGGCCGTATTGCTTGCGATATCGAATTATATGATGTTTAACTTAAATAATCTAAGAAACTGATAATACAATTTACTTAGGAGGAAATATGACTCTCTTCGGAAATTATCTGACGGTCGAAAGGACCGCCTTGGTCCTCTTTTATTTCTATCGATTTTAGGAGAAAAGATAAAACACGTATAGAAATACACACGGAGAATATATGTGAATAACTTCAGGAAACGAATACATGCATATATTTTTTTAATGGCAAAAGTATTCGTTTTTTTTTTTCTAAGGAAAACTAATAAAGAGAAACGAACAAAGTCTGTGATGTACAATGCAAAATACAAAAAATAGGTTGTGGCCTCTTGGAACTTTTTTTATCACGCGATACGGTCCGATTGCTTTCTAGTATTGTAGAGTTTCACACTCTGATTTAAGGTTTAATCCAAATGATGAGCGACGCGAGTCTTTATGCCCGAATAATTATGGCGCGGCCGTTCGCTTATCCCGCTCGGTTCCTAAGAAGGGTTGCGCCAACCCCTCCCGCGTGTGCGTAACGTAATGCAAAACGTAACAAGAATGATTCGCAAAGTGTAAGCGTGTGTGCTGTTACTGCTGTTTGTGTATGTATGTATGTATGTGTATGTGTATGTGTATGTGTATGTATGCGTGTGCGAAAGGGGCGAGAGCAAAAGAAAATGAAAAAAAGAGAGAGAGAGGAGGACCGATTGAGCGAAAAACCAAAAAAAGAAATTGACTTCCTCCCCCTTTCGAGAATGTGTCGTCGATAATGTTAAAATCCGCGGTACATATATCTCAAGGGTACGTCCATCCGTTTATGTGGACGTATTAGACGGCTGTATATACGTATAGATAGGCTGTACGATTTAAGAATTAATGCGTTAGTTTAAGGGGGAAAAAAAGAAAAAAAAATAAGGCGAAAAACGATAAATGGAAAAAAAGCGAACGATATTTCGATCAACGAATTGTACAATGTGACGTCCCGAAGGAATTTCGTCGAGAAGCTGCGATGAGAGGCAATCGAAGTTGAATAGTTTCTTTGCTGCGTCGACTGCAAATCGTTTAAAAGAATCGCAAAACAGGTATACTTGTAAAAAAAAAAAAGAGATAAATCGCTCAGACGGTATCGCGCGCGATCGATTTAACTCACGAATTATTTTTACACGATATAGATGGATCTGATCGCGCGATACCGTCACGACGATGACTTCTATGATTCTAGACATCGTTCGGGACGACGTGGCGAAAACTAACGATCATCACGCGATTATCGTGCGTGTCGGCGAAAGGAGACCGATATTCAAAAAAGTAGATTGAAGTCGCTAGTACTTAACGAGAGTCTCGGAGGTTTGTTTCACAGAGCCTGGGATCGGACGGGAGCTTCGTCGTTTCGTTTCCGCGAAATCTCTCGCGATCGCATCTCCGCGGGGAAGTTTCGGGAACGGGACGTTTCGTCGCTTTCGACTTTCGAGATCACTCGATTTCGCGTAGGACAGAATTGTCCTGCGTGTCCTACGTGTTTGCGTCGTGCAGCTCTGAGGACTCTCACCCGCGAGAGAGCCGCGAGTCGGCTCGAAGGGAAATACGCAAATGTATGCGTATGCCTGTACTATTTATATGGGGAAGAAAAACACAGGCGAAAAAAATTCAACACGAAGAATGTATATTGTATAGCTGTAAAGTCTCCCGCTGTACGAGTCGGTCGAGTTGACTCGAGCGGGGACAACGAGGGCAACGTGAACGGTAAGAGTCCACGTTGCCGCGATTCCGGGTAACTTCCAGAACGATTCGTGAATCGGTTTAGATTTGTCCAAGCGTGCATGTGCATGCGTGAAAATCGACCCGGGGGGCGAAGGGAGAACGAAGACACTGAAAGACACAGAAAGATGGAGATCGCTGGAGTTCCATCGAGACTAGAGGATACAAAGAGAGAGAATGTCCAACGTGCCACGAAGCTAATTAGGAAACTAATTAGTTGCGTAACGTCAATTTAACCAAATCCTAGTACAATGTAACTGGAGTCGCGTAATACAAAGATAGCATGGGAGATCTGTGCGGCTGATCTCCCTTTTCTTTTTATTTCCTTTTCTTCGTCTGCTTCTTGTTTTCGGTACTCGGCGCGTGAGTACCGTCAAACGTCGCCGACGATGCGCGTTTTTCTCCGAATTTGACGTTAGCATCGCCGTGCAACGGGCGCAATTAATCGATTTCAATTCAGCAAGAAGAATCCATCCCCATTGTAAAACTTTCAAATCGAGAAAAGAAAATCTAATTTGTAGAAGAAATATCATTTAGTTTTTGGCGCAGTTTCTTTTCGCAGAATATTGTTGAAAATGAAGAAATATTCAATATTTATTATTTCACTACTCGCTTTTATAGCGAAAAAAAAAATTCTTTTGGTTTGAAAATTATTTTTAATAAATAATATAATTGATATAATTTATAAATATAAATTTTAAATATATATATAACTTATATATATAAATATATATATATATAAATTATTTATTCGCTCGAAGAGGGGAAAAGAGGGAATAAAATTGCGAATTGCAACTTTATGGAATTTTTGCGAAAATGAGAATTTTCTTTTTTTCAAATCAAAGAATTCGTCGATAACTGCGAAACAATTGCGTATTATTAATTGAGGATTATTAACTGTGGAATTGTATATTTAAGAGAACAATGGGGATAGCGTTTTATTCATCTTGTTGCATTCGTATGTGTACATAATACGTAACTAATGTAATGCAGAGTGTGCTAAGAGACGATATATTTGTTTGCTATGCGCGTGATTTATCATTGCGCGTCGAATTTTGTTCGAGCCGAGGTATAATCCCGTCGTAGGTTCCTAACGAGAGACGGTGATATTTGTCTGATTGCGAAAGAGAGAGAAAAAACGCGAGCGTGATGCGCGTGTTTAGCGTTTAAGCGAGATGTATATAGAAGCGATAACGTTGAAGAGAAAAACCGAGCTATGGAGCATTGTGTAAATCCAATCCATTTTGTCTGTCAACTAATTTCATTAACTTTACTCAGTCAGACAAGGTCTTTTATTTTTTTTCAACGGTACGTGGGGGGGAGGGAGGAATACAACGTGACCATCGTCCGAAATGATAACGTTTTTTCTTGAGGAAAGCTGATGAGATTAGCAATAATTCTTAGAAGAATTAGAATTGATTGGGAAAAACTGTGGGAGAAAATCAAGAGAGAAAAAAATTTAGCGTGGAGTTTGATGTAGATAGGAGCGGATAGAGTGAATCAGCAGATTAAGTTTTTCTTTTTATTTTTATAAGGACGAGAAGATAGTCCGAAAAAACTCGAGGTCGAGTTTCTCATAAGTAAGAGGAAGTATAAATCTCCATATGTGACATGCATAAATCATGCACGGAAACCATACTCCATGATTCGGTGATTCATTTTGCGTTTATGATTATAAACACGTAGACATAAATACACATAACACAACTCGGTTAGATACGTGTACATTTTCTCAGACATTTTTTCACGAAACTTCACTGGCCTGTCAAATGTCGAATGGTTTTTTTGTTTGTCTCTTGTTCGTTTTTTTTTATTATTAATAGCGCAATAGGGAGTACCATACTGATATACCTCAAATCACACTTCGCCCGAGATATTCATCGAATCTGATCTACCGTACTTTTTACCGAGTCACAGAGGGAAACGAGACATTTAATAATTGCGTTACTTTTAAAGTTTAGCACGTAAATTACTTCTTTTTAATGCATAGATGAGAATTGTACTATGTAAAATGGTCCACGGTCTGTGTACATACCTTATGCGTATTCGCGGCATCGATTGAAAATAAAGCATCGGTATTTTATACAAGTGCTCTACGTATCTTTTAATCAATTATCTTTCCATCTTACCTATAAAACTTCCTTCCATTAAGATCAGAAAAAGTCGTATCAAATAACAATTCCTTTTCTGAAGTTTATTTTATTGAGCTTGAAATAGTATTAAATTAAATGTATATATATATATGGACAGATATATATGGACATATATATGAAAAAAAAACAGATATCCCTTTTAGAAAAAGAATTCTTTTTGCATAATTATTGGCTTTTATATTTAACTTAACAAAACATAGATGCGTTTGATATACACGAATTAAAAAAATATCTATAAGTAATATACCTAATAACAGAATGTTTTAAAATTCTAGCAATTTTTAATCTTAAAAATTGTTTTCTGATTAACAAAAAACACATTACGAAATTAAAAGAAAGCAATTATTCCTGCAGGAAACGTCATATTAATTAAAAATCTATAATAATGATATTGCATTGTGTGTGTATATGTTGGAAAGACTTTCTTTTTTGCAAAATACGGTTTAGAAAACTGGACTAAAGTTTATTAAGCATCTATTAATTGTCATTTCTACTATAATTGTATTATTTACAATTTATGCCATAATATATAATTGTTATAATACGAAACCAATTTGCATTATTGAAATAAATTGTAAAACTTTGATAATTTAAACTTAAAACTCACTTAAAACTATAACTTAAAACTTTGATAATTAATCGTAAAATACATTTTCTAATTGTTGACATTTTCCATAAACATGCATTATGCGTTCAATAATTCATCTTGGATTAAACTCTACTGAGGAAAAGAGTTTATTCGGGCAGAATTTGTTTAAGGCAAACCGGAGAATGACGAGAAAGGAAAGCAAGGATAATCACTTATACTATAAACAAATATATTTATATCAAACATGCCGAGTATACATTTTGCTATAATTCATGTTGAATTTGTCGAAACGGGAAACAGAGAGATGTCTCTCTGTGATGTATTATCTAACTATATTTCTCATTTCACATCTCTTTTACTTTCACAAAAGTTTTTCTTTGCAATTAACATATTAGAACCTTGTTTTATTAAAAAAAAGTCTTCGATTAATTACTTATCTTTAATTCAATTTAAAGCAAAATGTAGCAAATTTAAGAATGCAAAGGTCAAATGAAATTTGTTGAAAATAAATATATAGAAAAATGTGAAAGTTATAATCTGCAGACGATAAAAACGCTGTTCTTTATATGTTAATTATCTGTTTTCACATTGTTATTGTTGCCTTTTTAGTAGTTGAGTTTTCTTTAAAGAATTTCCTTTTGTCTTCAGATTACTTAAAAAGTGTAAAATATACGCAAGTATACATATAGATATACAAATAACGATGGTGGATATTAATAAATTTCTAATCCTTGCGATGAGATGATTTATTCTACTGTACATAATATACCTTGTGATATATATATATGTATGTATATATGTGTATATATATATATATACATATCTTTAGATATTGAATGCTTTGTAAAATTTCTTATACAATAGACGAAATTTTATAATAATTTTTCATGTATATACAGCAATAATCTCGTAAACAGCGGGAATTACAAAATTATTGAGACTATATAGGCTACAATAAATATTGAATTAGCACGGTTAATGAGCTCACGTGGAAGCATCACTGCCGCGTATTTTCGCGATGCTGCATGCCGCTATTATCGCTTTCTCTTTACAATTTTGTACTCCGCGAACAGGTTACATCATATATTACAAGATGCTGATAATATAATGCTAATAATGAGATATATCCCTAATGAAAAAAGTTCTCGTATCTTATAATATTTTTAAAAATTGTACAAATATAAATTTCTGAGAATTTATGAAAGTTAAATTCAGATTTTATCAATTTTTTTCGAAAATAATATAATGAGAAATTTTAAAATATTTCAGAATTCACGTATATAAAGAATTTTAGAAACATGTACTTTTTTTTTAGGATTTCTAAAAAATGCTCAAATTTGTATTAAAAAATTTGAAAAATGTTTTAAAAAATTATGCGATACTTCTAAAAGGTTTTCAAATTTAAATACAAATTTTGAAAAATTATGTAAACAATTTTAAGAAAAATTTTCGTCAGGGATATATCGAGGGATATTCGTACAAAATATTTGCCATAAAATTTGATCTCATGTACAATTGCAGCTCCACTTCAACGTGATCATATAAAATGCAGCCGCGAGGCTTATATCCCGACATAAACAAAACACGATGTACACTTACAAAAGTAACACGCATATCATTCGTCAGTCAAAAATGATCACAATACATCGGCTACATAAGTTTTGTGTAACGACATTGTAGGTATTTTATTCTTTTACAGTTGTAATATATCGATGTAAAAATTTCAGAGTCTTTCCGCGAAACGAAGAAACGCTTTAAGAAAACAATTGAAACAGAGAAAAATCCTTAAGCAATGCATGCACTTTCAGTTAGAGAAATAACAATTGTATGATAAATACAATTTGATAGAAAAATCATGAATTTTTAAAACAAATTCTTGCCTTCTAAATGATATATAAATGCTAGTCAATTGAAGTCGCGAATCCTTGACGATGTAACGTTAACTACTTAGCTAAGTCTATAACAGAACTAGAAAAGAGAAAAGAAACTATATATACTTTTCAGTATATCATTTAAATCTGAGTCTCCTGTTCTGGCCTCTGATATTAGTTCTTTAGCTTTCGCACGGTATTCTTGAAAAATAGGATTAAAATTATATTCATTTCCCATTTTCACTACAATTTTCCATTTCTTACACAGTTGTAGTTTGAAACGTTCAGGAAAGACCGTGGCATTATAAGATATAAGAACGCGGTGATAGATTGTGGTTAATAGAGTTTTTAAAGAGGGATCGCTCATATCGTTTGAAGAGGGACCGCTCGCGTAACTATCGTTCAATTTAAGAGCTACAGCTGTGAGTATCGCGGGAGGATCATTTAACTTAGGGAGAACTGATACGATTACAGGCGACAAGATGTGAGATGGAAGATCATAGCATGCCGTAAATAAATTATTACGAAAGAAAAATGCATGGCCACCTAAACAAATATCAAAAAAAATGTAGAATGACATTCGAAAAAGAGTACGCTGTTCGGTGAAAAGTGACCGTTGTTGGATCGAGATTCGCTATTTGTGGCTCAGCTTTTATCTTGTACTTATTTATTAATATCTCCATTATCTCCTGCATAGGTTCGTTTTGGATGTTATATTTTAATACCCTATAGTAGTAGAAATATCGAAATGGAACTCCATATTATTAGTGAAAATGGATTGTGCTGTTCAAAAATAATTGTTTTCAATTCGGCAGAATTTTCATAAATGTTTCGTGCGGTATGCTTATGTTCTTCCATCGTACTCTCAATAATCTGTCTAGGGCTGAATCTCTCCACAGGAAGAATCACGTCGGTTTTAGGAAACTCATCCAGAAGAGTAACCTCGGAGAAGAGGACTGGATCTTTTATAAGCTTATTTAATAACTTATGTAACATGGACACTGACCTCATGTCATTTTTTTTCGCTCATTTTTACGGTCTCCATTTTTATGTTAAACTTGCGCACTGTTAAGCTAGCTCTGCATTAGTTGAATGGCAGCGTCGAAAACGTTCCAATCTCAAACTAGCTTGACGCCGATTGGATCACAACTGTATCGCAACGTTTGCGATACGACTAATAGAGAACCAGCTTTAGATTTTGTGCAAACCTAAAGATGATTACGTCATTTGGTCCATTTGCGATACAGTTTGGTGACAGTTCGTGCCTTCTTGCAATTATGATAAAAATATATGTTATAACAAATTTACTATATATAAATAATTTAATCGTATTAATTTAATAATCTCAAGCATAAATCTGCCAAGTGTTCGGAGGGCAAAAGAAGTTATTTTATTAAAATAATTGTTTTTTTTTATTATTATGAGACTTTGCATATACGTATAATTTTTGGAACATATACACCTTAGAGTTTATGCGGCAATAATATTATACATGTAAAATAAAATTGTCATGTTAGCTCTCACGTTCAACACAAGTTATATTTCGATTTCAAGTGTCAAAGCACAGCCATGTAAAAAAAATCATTTTTTCTGACTTTCCTAAAAATCATTGTCTAAAACTCATCAGATTATGTGCGGATACTTTGATAATTCTTTGTATCCGAAACATATTTTTGCGCGGAATAAAAAAAAAATTCACGATAGTCCGTATGTACAGGTATAAAAATTATTTCGAAAGATATTCTGAATGCGTCAAAAATATACGACAACATATAATAATACAGAAACTTAACATCTAACAGCAATGATAATGTAAAATGACAATGATTAAATTGGGATCACATCTTTGGTACACAATTTGTCATTAGTATCAATATTTCAACGAACATCACCTTTATCGCTAATAACTATGGCAAGATAGGGCCAAATATATATTCTGATTAAATATTAATTTCTTATCACCGACAATAATATCGTAAGCTTCTGAAACAGAATGAGATTTATGTTCTCCTTGTTTAACGTTACATCTAATAAATCTCGCGTTAATTTCTTGTTTCTAATTTGTTATTCGTGAAAGCATACTGTACAGCTTCATCCCCATAACAGTCTTCAATGTTTCAATATTAAATCCTTCTAATTCCTCTCTACCAAGTTCCTCTCTTAATAAATGAAATTTTCCAAGCTTTTTATCGTCCCACGTAATAACAATCCAACTCGTCATTTTGTTGTTGTTCAATTAATCGATTCTCTTGTCAATTAATATGTTTCTATATCAAAGAAGCTTGATATCATTCTAATTTTGTCAATAATTAAAAAATACCACTAACAGATAGATTCTTACTGATAACGGAAAGTCGGACGTATCATTTTTAAGATTAAAAACATTTCACGATTCATGACATTTACCGAAAGAACATGGAGTATTTGCAACGAATTAGTGTACATCGATACGTTTTGGCAAATACTAACATATACTTGAAATTCCGTGGGTCAAGCTCTTCTCGAGGACAATGTGGAACTCGCTCAACGGCTCAAGAATATGAATGAAGAAGGTCAATAACGTGGGATTTCTCAAAAACGAATTCTCCTCGTACATATCCGTCGTAGAACGCGCATCGCTCATCGGCCGCAACATTGGATGAAGAAGCTGTTCTCTGAAAGTTACATTAACGAGCGGGCATGAATAACAACGAAAGACAAATTGAAAGTGGATAATCTTGTTAAAAACATTTTATAAATTTACCTCGCTGCTAAACAGATGAATAACTGGAATTTTCCATCTTTTCCTAAAGTCTGACTAAATATATTGATCTGATCGATAAGATGGCAATAACATCTCAAGATCGTGAATCTTTGGCTGCTTTCTGTATATCTTCTATCTCGGTTGAGTCTTTGAGAATACTCATCCATTTCCTCCAGCAAGGATATCTCGAAATTTTCTTTCACGCGCACTACAACAATTTCAATTATACACTTTTCTAATAATAGTTTTGTCATGAATTAAAGTCACGAATTAAATTTGTACTTACAAAGGTAGTCCCATACGTAAAAGTTCCTTCCAAAGATTCTCTGATTTTTAAAGCCAAATAAAAATATTTGTTCCAAAGACGGAACAAGACCACCTTCTCCGCATAACAGCGCCGTCAAAGAACCATCCTGACACTCTCTTCGATAGTGATATTTGACTATGGCGTTTACAGCTTCGCCTGTAATATTACATTTGATATGTAATACATTTAACATGTACATACATACAATATACAGTAGGTAAATAATAGTAATAATAATAATTTACCAAGCATGTGTTGCAGTTCAACTTGCGACAATATAGGACGCCTAGGTATACTCGGAGATCTACATCTGGGAGGTGTGGAACATGACTCCACCAACTCTTCGCTGTCAATGCTTCGAGGTACTAAAGCACCTACTAACAAACGTTCGGTAGACCCGTCATCTATTCCTCTACCGAGCCAGCGACCACAGGGAAACTTAAATGTGTGTCCAGTCACTTCGTTTCTCACTACAACATGTTCCACCATCCATTTTGGCGATAATCCCGTATTGTCGTGCCCAATCCGTAACGTAGACAACACGCCTAAATTTTTATGCTAAAAAAGAAGCGTATAAAAATAATTACATGATATATAAAACAAAATCTATTGCACTAAGTTTAGAAAAAAAATTTGCTTCTAAAATGTTGAAAATGAGCATTTATTATGTAGGTTGATAAAAGTTGAGAATAATTGCCACTCTAAAATGACTGGCTCAATTATAGTCACTTACTTTAGAAAGAGTCAATTTAAGTAAAATTAATAACTCTATTTTTAGGATATACAAATTGAAATATTTACATGAAATACAAATTCGAGTGCTCCCTTTGGTATGGGTACGGGATTAGTTTCGCAGAGGGTGCCAGAAATGGCGATCCAACTATTAGCCGAAGTAGTGGCGGCGCTTGCCTTTCGACTGGGAAAAATCACAACTCGATACGGTAATTTCGTCGTCGGATAGTTATTCGTGAAACAGAAGTAGTCGACGGCGTTCAGTGTCAGAAGATGGTATAAGAACTGCTCTTTCTCTTCTTCACAACGTAAAAATGCTGATCTTTTGTACTGACTCCTGACAAATCATAAAAAGTAACGAATTAGTTAACATTATAAGGTTCCTGACTAGTCGCGCGGCAATATTCTCTTCAAGTGGAATATTAAATTCACATTCGATTGTGATTAATTAATTCTTACTGTTTACGATACGAGCATATATATTGTACGATACATATTGTAAAATTTTTACGGTTTGCGACTTATATGACATCCGAAATCCCTCGTAAAAATGAATTAACGACGCACAATTTCAATATGATCACGGTGAGGCAGAAATGGCCGCCTTGGGGACCTTGAGTCCCCAAGGTGGCCAAGATTCTTGGCTAAAATTTCTGCCTAATCACCGCCATATTAAAATTGTGCGTCATCATAAGCGAGAAATGATATGTGAAAGTTTCTTGCGTGTCATTTTTAAATAAAGAAAATTTGGATGAAATGTAAATATATGTATATCCGTTCTCTCTGCAAGCGTTGTGTCAATAATTATCGGACACCCTTTATATATCATTTAAAAATGTGACTATATTTAATAATTCCCAAAATGTACCTCAATAGAGCAGTATCCGACAGCAACGTTTTCAAATGACGCGACAGCAATTTCTTCTCAAGCGCTAACCGCACCCAAGCTCTTGCATATCCAATGTGTGTTTTTATATCGGTCATCGCTTGAACGTTACGGATGTCGAAGCTTAAAGAATCCGGGAGAGGCCTCAGGTGTTCAGGGCCGACGGTTTTCTTTTCACCGGGAGATTTGTGCTTATCAGTGCTTCTCGTGGGTGAAACGTCCGCCTCCAATTGCAGATTCGACAAATCTACCGCAAGATAAAATATTTTAGATAGACATTCCTCCAGTCAAACAAGGGGATGCAACAAAATACAAGCAAAGACAATATCATTTATGGCCAAACATTTAATCTAATCATCTTCAATAAATATTTTTGAGCATACATTAATAAATACATGCAAATTCAGCAGCATGCTTCATATAAATATTCAAAAACATGTACACACAATCTTCATACGTAATTCATATAAAAATACATTACATATGTATATATATATATATATATATATATATATATAATTACATCGTAGCAATCTGACATGCATTTTTTTCACTGAAGACATTATTGATAAATATCTTTAAAAATCATAGTATTAAAATAATATATAATGACAAGTATCACTATAATTTGTTATTGAAATACTTGTTAATCGAGAGCATTCACACGAGTTTCACAAAAAGAATCGCTACTTAATGAACTTAGTTCATAAAACTGTCTTTTTGCGGCAAGCCGATATTGAGGCTTACCATTAAAATTGTCCTTGATGTAAGAAGCAATTTCAATAATATTTTTGCCTCTCAAAGTTGAAATCAAACGATCCGGTATCCCGAAAAACTTATTCGGAGATTTCTTAGCTAGTTACAACATAAAAAAAAATAAAAGAAAGAAAGGAAAATTAAACATAATAATGGTAAACAGAATAATAAAATCGCTCATATATTATTGTTTAATAAAATCTAAAGACTTCGCGCGTGTGCGCGCTTTAATCTGCTTTTCATTATTGAATAATCAAAGATACTAAAATAATACGGTGCAGTGAAGCGTAAAAACACGTAATATCAACTATTGTTTTTGGTGGATCACTTACAAAACTAACAGTGCAGGATATCTACGTACGAAGAGAACACTAATCTCTACTTTATAATACTTTATCTTATTGTAAAACGGAGACACGTACAATCGAGTCGCTTCCGCAGCACGGACCACGCTAGCGCTGCATTTCCGCAAAATAGTAATAAATTTAATGTAATTTACAATCGATTGATTATTCTCTCTCTCTCTCTCTCTGCTGTGTATATACGTATCATATCTACGCGCATAATTATCAGATGAAAGATATGAAAATGTAATATTTGGGGGGATCGTATTAAACCGCAATATATTTATGCAACATTAAAACACAAGCATATCTTACCAGGAGAAAGAAAGTTGGGATCTATAGACTTAGTCGCATCATTACATTCTTCTGCTTCCTGATACATGGTCAAGTGCGACCAGAGAGCGCTCTTGCCCTGCTTATTTTGCAACCCGTGGCTCCACACTCGTTCCAACAGATCACAGAGACTAGCGACTAGAGTGTTCTCCTCGACGTCGGACAGAGACTCGCCTCCGTGACCAAGCGCGACGGCTTCCGATCCCATCTTCTCCACTAGCATTCTCTTCGTTTTGGATTTACAATCCTTATAACAAAAACGACGATTTTAAAATTGTAATAAATTAGGGATAATTATTACATTGTATTATTTAATATTACATTGAATTTTAACTGTAATATTAAACGTGTACAATTTATATGAGATAAATGTATATAAATGTAGTTCTCCTCAAAGAAATATAATTTTTTCGTCATTTTATACATTAAATATATAGTTTAAGTAAAAAAAAATAACTTTAAAAAGTAATTCAAAAATAAATTACATTTAACAATTTAAATTATAGAAAATAATTTTATAATAATAAATGTACATAAAATCTCAATTACGTTAAATAATATTCATAAGATTGAGTACCTTGAGCAATTTTTCTACGAATGTCCAATTAGCCTGCGCTATTAAAGCGGGGCTCATGTCCGCCGAGAGTTTAGTTTGAGGTCGAGGTGATTGAGATTCTTGTGGTGTTGGAGGTTTCCCATTCGTATCTATAGATTTCATCTTGTATTTCCATTGTGTCTGTCCTCTTCTACTACTACAAGTAGAAGCAATCGATTAATTATATATCTGTATCATTAATAATTTACGATGCAATTTATAAATATATACAAAATACATTTTTTTTAAGACTCAGCAAAATGAATTAATTACACATTATTCACAAGATTTTCTTTGAAATTTTTTCGATTTTAAAGTAAAACTTTAAAAAATTGAATAAAATACACTTTGCTGTAAGCCCCGTTTTATTCTGTTATATTAAAAGTTGTTTTTCTTACCGAAGTATACTATTCGGAAGCACAAAATAGGAATAGCAGACATTAATACATTTAAAAATGAAAGATTATATTTTTTAAATAAAAATGTCGCGAATGTACCTTTGAGCAGGCTCTTTATTCAACGCGACGTTATCTAGCGGCGGGAAACTCCGAAAATATGCGGCTCTATGAGGAAGAATCTCCACAGGTGGATTTGTTTCAAAATCTATGTTAATTAATCTCTGTTCGAGTATTTTTTGCGTATCCGCGACGTTCGTGCAAGGCTCGTATCGCATTGATCGTATAATGCTTTCTCCGACCTTCTTCCTGAAATACGGAATAGATTAAACGTGGATTAAAGTTCTTTATACGTTTAGCCTTATTCACCTACATAAAAATAAGTAGGGAAAGCATTGTATTATTATGACTCACTTTAGAGCAGAAATCCTCTGGTCAAAAACTTTAATGTTACTGTCGAGTTCGCTCCACGTCGACATCACTTTGCTATCGACGAGAGAAGCAAACATCTGCGTTTCCAGGAATCTCGATAAAAACGGCAGATGCTGGGTGGGCTGGTCAGATAAAAACGTGGCCTTGTCGAAAACGTGCATACTATCCCTATTGTTTATCCATTCATCCTTGTCCTTCAATGTAAAATTTATTATGATAAGTAAATTTATTATGATTAATTTATTATAAGCACAAGAGGCAGATTTCAGCTTTATTTTGTAGAAACGTTGCATGTCCTCACCTGACTCGGTTGAATAACAAAATGTTCGTAACTAGAAAACATTTGTACAAAACGATTTAAAAAGATCTCCCTAACAGCATTATTGAAGATAAGAGTCTCTTGATATTCCTCCTGCGGCGTGAGTATTCTTTCCGTGGTATCCTCTACAGGATCAATATCATCCATGTTCACTGTAAGCACGGAAAATCAAGAACTTAAAAATAATCCTGATAAGAATGCTTTGCTATACTTATACTGGGAAGTTATCTCACCTGTTCTCTTAACGATATCCACTATTCTTTGCAGATTTTCCGACTGAGGCCCTGGTTCCGGCCGATCCCAATCCAGCACATCGTGCAAAGAATGTTTTCTGCGAGGAAGATGAAAACCAGAACCGGGAAGTGTCAGGCTGCTGGTCATGATGTCGCCATTGAAATAATTAATGACCATGTTATCAGTCCTATAAAAATTTTGCTCGATTTAGACTTTGCTCGGAGTAACAAATTGAATCTCCATCTCGATCTAAATACAAGTAACTCACTTTCCTGAATGTGGTATTTTGTACTTGTTTAGAAGCGCTCTGATCTCGGTAATAAACTGCATTTTATGAGGAAACACGGGTAATTCTTCCGGAAATTGGCTACTTTGCTTATCTATATCTACATAACAAAGGTTTGCCTGTAATCAAAACGTGATCGGCATTACTCACAACTGACAGATAGACAATCGCGTTAATCTTTCGTAGAATATTAATTCTCTCGAATGTAATAAAGGAATGAAATATGGAAGGGAGATGTAGGAAAACGTACTTCGCTAGCGATTTTCAATACGCCTCCCTCATTGTGCGCATGTAGACCCATTATGAAGGGCACAGGTGCATCTAGGAAGTGATGCAGACTGGCGGGCAATATCGGTACGTATACGTGTTGCCACGAGAAAGGAAACAAGAGCGCCGTTATGCATTCAGACACCGCCATCAGCTTGTGAAAATCAGCGCTTCTCAGCAGAACTTGGTTCTCCAACAGCACGCACGTGAACAATTGGATTAGGCAGTCTGAGCCCAACCACGTGAACACATCCTTGAGAGGATAGTCCAACATCGGCAGCTCCAGCGATGGGGATGGCTGATGAATAACCAATTCTAGCGGCGATTTCGCCGGTTCGTCATTAGGTACGAAAAACTTCAGCGATTTGCCGGATAACGGTACGGGTACGTTATACAGAAGGTTATACACGTAAGATTCTAAACTAAGACCAGGTCCGGGATGCCTAGGAACACATCTGAAAAAAAATTCGCTAATTATGTCACACTCTTTAATGTTATTGTAATATATATAGATTGTTACATATATAAATTCTATTCTAATTAAACAGAATATCTATCACTTCTTAAAAAAATCTTTAGTTTTTTAAACGATCGATATCTACACACCATACAAAATTGAGACACTTTTGTTAGTCTATCATTGATCAAAAATAAATATTTCAAATAATTGATGAAACAAAGGCAGCGATATTACACGAGAGTTTTCATTTAATTATAATGATAATAGATGCAACAAAAAAAATATTTCTATAGCACTTGATAAAGACTGGATGTTTGCCTTGCGTCAGTAATTTGCAGAATTTCATGCTGAAAATACGAGCTTAAACACAATATTTGAGAAGCACTTCTAACAAAAATTAACAGTGATGAGATAAGCAAATTAATAAAAAAAAATCCCAATTGACAAATCCTTTTTAAAAATTAAATTTCTTTTATGTTCATTAACAGACAGAATTTGTGTAGCGTTCTAACGTAATATTATGACTTGTAAGTGCTCTCACGAACCGCAGCATAAACGCAGTTATGTAAGAAGAATAAAGCTGTGTCAGCTAGTTTCAATGGAGCTTTATGAGACTCGCGAGATATCTTACTTATAGAGATTAGTGAGGAACATCTTCGCCGCATGGAGGTAAGGTTGTTGGCATAGCAAGGATATTGATTTGGTCACTAGCAACTTGTCTTTGGTAGAGTCATAGTATCCTAAAGCAGCGCCAGGCGAATGGGCTGACAATTTAAAATGACGTGGCAGCGATCTCGTGTTATGTCCATCCTGACCCTTTCTCGCACTGAAAAATCGCGAAATGTACTTTAAAAGCTCCGAAATACAAAAGAGCAAAGGGATTTAATTGATATGCCTGTATGCGAGACCGAGCGCGTTTTCATACATTTTCACAGATTTTCCGCATTCGAAACGATTTCTAATTTTTATCAAATTCTTTTCAATCAATTTTAACAAGTGAATTTTACTTCTCAATAAGGATTAAAAAGAGAAATGGGAATTAAGTTATCGAGAAAGTTGACAGAGAAAGTCGATTTTTGTGCATTTGGCATAAAAAGGGGGGGCATATGCGGGAATAATAAAGAAAATTAGAAAACGCAATTGTGTACGGAAAGCAAACGTACGTGGGGGGCGTGCCGTTTTGACCGCTGCTGAGCTCCGTGATGTGCATCGCCTGTAGTGTTTGCATAGCGGCGCATATTTTGCGATTGCGGCACTCCTCGTAGAAAACGAGGCTGAACCCGTACGTTCGGTGTCCGTCTTCTTTCGTGAGGACGAAGGAGTGGAATGTCGGCTCCACTGAGTGCTTTTGCGTACGAAATCGCAAACCGCTTGGCAGACAAAGCTATTATCAATGTAATCGATAAGTTACTCCCCTCGACTGCGCGAGACGCAAATGTGTTCCCTGAATCTAATTAAAACGTCACTAAAACACGCTTCGAGACCGACAGCTTCCTACGTAACGTAGAGTAAACTTTGTATAGTTTACATTTGATTATTATTAATTTAATTAATTAACTTTAGTTAGTCACACAACAAATACATATATGAATTTACTGGATGGATGTTACTAAATGAATGTTGTAAATTGATTCGACTAGTGTAAATTAATTCTCACTTTCGATAAGTGAATTGTATACAAATTTATATTTACATTACTAACTTGTAACACGCGATGGAATTTTAATTAGCAATCAGCTGTCATAACAGATACACATACCATGCAAACAGCGTGTTCGTCGAACGGATTCCATGGTACCGAATCTGGATAATGTCCTAATACTTTGCTCTTGTACGCTCGATCCAAGGGTGTGCATTGCAATGAGTCACCTGCAAAACAACGAACAGCAAAATAGACTTAATACCCTTCGTAAACATCGAGTTATCGTTCTTAACACGTTGCGGAAAGAAAGGTTTCTTGTAGTCACGCGAGAGACAATTTTTTTTCCACTTAAGGAACGATTAAAGAAACTCCGCTTGTTCGTCCTCTCTGTCACGAATGTTACAGCCGAGCATATCTAGTGTGTGGTTTCTTTTTTTCGCGAGCACCAGTCAAAATATTTGTGATGGAGGGAAAGAAAATTCAACGCGCAACTCAATCTTTAGCAAACGACGAAATTCTCAGCTCTCACGTGGGAACAGAGAGAGAGAGAGAAAGAGAGAGAGAGAAAAAGAGAGACGAGAGTAACGCTTATCTTACAGCGGAATCAGCAAAGCTGTTATCGAACATGCCGCACGGTCCCACGGACCTGGCTCAAACGAGAGAGAGATGGTCCAGAAGGCCTTGGCGTCGTGCCAAGTGCTCCGGAGTATTCCTCGTCAGAATACAAGAGTATTCTTGTACGAAGTTAATCGTTCGCGATCAAAGAACCACGCCAAAACGATGAATTTGCATTTGCGAGACGCAAGGGAAGGGAAACGGTGCGAGTGAACACCGCGAATTGTGAAATATTCTTTGCAACAAGAATTAATCACGATCAGTGAATCAACCAATAGATCACGGTCAATTAAGCCCTCGTTCTTCTCGACGTAAAGGAAGAAAAATGAGCGTGAGCTCGTCGTAAAGTTTTAATTTTATTTTACAAAAATTTATATATACCTATTCATAGAAACATAGACAGCTCGCATAAAAATGTAAATTAAATAATGTAAACTGCACTGCAATTATATAATTTTTTAATGTATTTGCCAGTATAATTTGCGATATTAAACGGTTTCATGTTTTAATTTACTCACATAGAACGCGTATAATTGTATAATTTGCACCACAATGCCGTTATTTAATTGTATTGCACTTTGGAGAAGATAGCTATTTGCATTTGCAGGAAATATCGCTCCGAATGTCACACGAAGTTTCTGAAATTTTATCTCAACCGTCGAGGTAGATAATGATCAGAACTAGGAAATGAGATTCGATCCGAGCATTATTTCCGTATGCGAAAGTCTTGCGTAAAGCTTCATAAGCCGTTTGCCAATGTCGAACTTTCCTCGGATTAAAGTCGGATAGTACGCACATCCCAAGTTCGTGCTCCGAATTAATCTACGTGTGCATCCGAGAATCCGTTCTACGTAATAATTCTCGCTGCAGCAACACAATTGAATCCTATCTTAAACTAACTCTGTCACATCCCATTATTACAAAGTTTCCCGCTTGAATATGTCGCATTTTATATCGCTGAAACTCTTTGAGAAAGAGAGAGAGAGAGAGAGAGCAATAATTCATGCAATAATTATTATTCGTACATTAATGTCAATTTAAATATTAATACAAATAAAATATGCTTTTAACGCAAAATATCATGCAATATAACACTGGTAAAAATAATAAATATATTAAAATAGCACTCTCTCTAAATATTTTGCAAAAAAATTGAAAATTCCGCGAGGATGGTTGTATGTATAGGTATAAGTTTTTAAATTTAAATATAAATTAGTAGCTGTTCTAATATATCTATGTATAAAACGCGTATGCCTGAATAAACGCATGTAAAATTGATTTTAATCTGAGGTCTTAATTGACGTTATAAACTAGTCTGCGAGTCAATCTCCGTTTGGAAATGATGTTCGCGAAGTAGCCGGTGATAATCGAATGGACTGATTGAATCGCCGCCGAGTGAGTCGGTCGTCGCCGAAATCACCAGTTTCGATTAACAGGCCGATAGGTTTTTTTTTCGATACATTTCAGTGTTTCTCATCTACACATACATGGGATTCCCGAATAATAATAAATCGCGCCGTACATCGGATCGGTCCAGCGAGTTTCAGCCTTCTACAAAAAATATGTTTTTTATTTTTAGAAAACTGCGCGTTAGACTCCAACCAAAGTATCTCTAGTTATATATTGCAGCAGCAATACTGTAAAAATTCGCAACAAATTTACATGAAATAAATAGTTTGTGAAGAATTCATATTCATTCGTGAATAATTTTTATTCAAATTTTTCTTCGTTATAATTACAAATACAAATGGCAATCAAAAAAATTTTCGACTTCAATTACTTCTATTTTATTGTATGCGCCATTTATTATTTAAATACATTTTCTTACTATTATATATTTTATTTTTACATAAACTGCATGAGATTTTTAGCAGTAATATATCTAATTATACACAGAAAAGACGATATAAATTTTACTGTGTTACAAATTTTTATTTTTCATTTTGTTTTAATCAAAAGAAAGATTATAAAATAATGCATATTATTAGTTTTCCTCAAATTTAATTATATATCCTCAATAAAAGACAAAAATTTTTACTCAACAAAAATGATTATCACAATTTGACTTATGCAACGACACGAGCATTATTGATAAAGGTTATCTACGATCGCTTCATCTAAAATCATTGCGCGTATCCCCTCCGAAAACGAGTCATGCGGTTCTGTCGTCATCGTGTTTAATCGAGCGCAGAAAATTGTTCGCCGATTCCTTTAGTTAAACGCTCGCTGAACGTCGTGAATCTCGTGGTGATGCTTAATAATTTCGCGATCGTATTTAGACGTATCTTACGAGTTCGTGCTCGGTGAAAATGTTATAGAATAGCTTACTTTCAACATCGTAATTATTGTACGAATGCTGCTACGAAATCGCCCGTAACATTGCAGCACATGTCTGCCTCGTTCCAGTTATTACGCGAATATATTGTCCCTAAATCCTCTCCCTCCATTCCCCTCCCACACACATACACACACGGGTCTCCGTACTTTCTATAATACTCTCGTACACGCATCGCTGCCAAGATGGTCTTATTACGCGAGTATACTCCTAATTACACCATACCTTACGCGCAACATCAAAGTGCGGTTATTAACGGTAGCGGAACAGGTAGTTTAAAAGCAGACGGTCTTGCACCGGTTCTTAATTGTTCTACAAATCTCCCTGTTGCGAGTAACTGTATAAATCAATTAAAACAACACCAAGAAAAAATATATATTTAATATACGTATTAAGAGTCAGATGGCTTGTGCGCAAAAGAATTAGGATTCTTTTTCCAGGATCTTAACTGCACATTTATTTCTCAGCTTAACTTTATTTAAATCCCTCTCTGTCTCTCTCTTTCTTTCGCGCGCGCACAATGCTATGTATATATATATATTATATCTATATAATTTTTGAATTATTTAAATATATATTTGAAAAATTGTTTTGTTATCAAAGATAGCAAATATATATTTTTTTAACAAAAATATGTATAGTTTAATAATTTTCCGTAAATTATTAAACTATATACACAACGAAATAACTGTAATTTTACAATTATACTTAGGTATAATATATATTGTTCCAAACTTATAGTTTTTTAAGCAAAAAATATACACATATAGTTAGTTAATATTTAATTTACAGAAAATTATTAAACTATATTTTTTTTTCTTAAAAAACTAATTTGGAACTACATATATATGTATATTATACTTAAGTATAATTGTAAAATTACAGTTATTCCGTTGTGTCATACATATTCTATAATTTTTATCAAAGTTCCTTTCGCAGAGATCATTGGTCTCGTTTACGAGCAACCCAAGTACTTACCTCGAAGATAAACATCACGCGGTCGATTTATATGCATCCGTGGCACGAAGTAAATACAAAATACAAGAGGAGAGCGAACCACGAGCGCGACAAGAGAAAGAGAGAATCACGTCCGAAGAAGGAGAAGAAAAGGGGTAGAAAACGAGCAATAAATGAACGATATGCCCCTGTGCCATGGAAAGTATTGATTCGAGAGCATGATGCTCGTACAAGAGGCGTAGAACAAACGAATATTTTCCGTGAATCCGCCTTTGCGTACACGTGCAACACGCACGCCCACGCGTGCTTGTGAACGCGTGTATGAACCGCATGTGTCACGCGACAGCTAGAAAGAAGGGGATGCAGCTTTTGCAAATTCGTATACGAAACATAAAACGACAACGAAATAAAGTACATGGGTATTATCTTTTTGAAAAAAAAAATCTTGATTCTTTTCCTTCGTCAACAAAGTTCTTAATTGTGTAACTAATTATCAATTTTAATCACGAATCAATTACGTTGGGAATATATGAAAGAGAAGACTAAAATCTTGGAGAATTTTTTTTAGAAAAAAAGCTGTAAAATATCCGTCAAGGAAATTTTATTGAAAAGTTATACCTAATGAAGGATTTCTCTGTGAGAAATTAAGTAACTTCCTGAAAGTTGGAAACTGATTAATACAGTTTTAATAATATTAAGAAGTATATATAATTTATGTAATGTATTTTATACTCTTTTATATTCTTCAAAATTTACGTTCAAAAGTATTATTCTTGGAAGACTCTTATCAGCAGTCATAAAAAATTATCGTTGACCCTAACTTGTGTATAGCCCGTTGATAACTAGGATAAATATGTAATTTTGATGCATTTTAGACATTCAAGTTCCAACATACAAAAGCTATTTTCTTAAAACGTCATAAAATTCCAAAATAAATAAGTCAAATTTAAAAATGCATCAGATAATAAGAAATTTATTTTAAACCAATGTTTATTAAATCAATTTCAGACTCTTTTCAAAAATAATTTTATATTTTTTAATCCTATGATCGGATTCCCGAAATTTCCATTAAAAAATCAAGTTTTTCTCTTATATTAATTAATGTTAATTAAATAAAAAACATACTAATTATAGCTTATATTAAATAAATAAATCTGGTTTGTGACAAAGATGCAAGAATTGTATTTTTTTCGTTCCCACATTTTCCGTTTCGAGCTTCCCAAAGTGTCGCATCCGAATAAGTTGCCTCTCCCCTCCTTACGAGCACGTATGATGTCATCGTGTACAGGGTCATTTGTACATGAAGGGGCTACCGGCACTTAAGTATGCGTTTAAAAGGCGGAAGCATGGTTATAGGACCAAGTCCTATACGACGCATATGCACGTAGGCGCACAACAAACGTTTATGCCCCGTGACAAAAAATAAAGCTCGTTCCGCGTAAAAAAAAATGTTTATTAAACATCTAAAAATTTTAAGCAGTATAAGTGTTAAATATTTCAGAAATCAAACTTTTCAAAAATACATTATATTTAGTAATATAATTTTTTAATAAAATTTCTATAAAACTATAATTATTTTAAATTGTTATATGTTATTTTAAATTGTTATATAATTCTTTTAAATTGTTATCTAAGCATAATTCTTTCTTACAACTCTGTTCACAATTTTTATTAAAAAATTGCTATACGTTTGTGTAACATTTATTTAATGGCCTAGTCGTCCCTGAATTAAATCATAACCATTTTCCTAATGGCATATCTAAATTTGTCGGTAAAAACATACAAAAAATATTTTATAGCACTGATATTTCACACCTAAAATCTAACCAACTAAAAATAAGTATTTAAGGGGTAATGCAACCCTTCTACAGACTCTGCTGGTCTTTAGACGTACGTAAAGAAGGGTGAGGCCCTAAGCGAAAAGAATGAAGCATGAAAATATGGATGGCTAATATTTGCGAAAAAAAGGAGAGTAAGAAGATTACTAGACGAGTCTGCTAAAAATAAAAAAGGAAAGAAAAACGAAGTTAACCGAAGGATATGCAATAAATGAGAACTATTATTAACTTGAGGATTAAAAATGTAATTATAAGATATATCGACGATTAAAACTATAAACTTAGGAGTGTGATTTAGTTTTGAGGGTTTTTTTTCTCAAAAACTGATTTGTTATACGAATACCTTAATCAAAATATTTCCCTTCGTTTTCTATAACTTTTTCTGGCAAGAGATGGACTCCGCGACGATAAAAAGATTTTTCTTTCGAATTGATTCGATTTTCACCAAATTTTCGAACTTCTTCGAAATTATGAAAGCATGTATCCTCTATAGACTAGAGGATATGTTGCATTGATCGGAATAAGTGATAATTAGATCGAGCATAGTCTGGAAAATAGCGTTTGCTTCACTGATAATGTAATATGAGGTAAAAAATGCTTCTTAGGAATTAGCTCCATTTTTAAGATGATATAAATACGATATTTACTGCGTATATTGTTAGTAAATGACTAAATATTATAGAGTAATATTAAAGCATTAAGAAACAATAGCTGTGATTGTAATGTCTTCGACAACACTGACATTAGTGCCATATCTTGCAAAACCCTCAAAACTAAATCACATTCCTAATAAATATAGAAAAAAAAAACAATCACGAGACACGATAATATATCCAAGTGTTTCAATAAAAATTATTCCCGCTACACCTCGAGAAAAATATACATTTCCTATGTTTTGCATGGCGTACAATAGAGTTGTGCGAACAAAGAGAGTGGAATGTTTTTTCAATTTACACGTCTGATGAATATAAAATACTTCTAACAGAGAATATTTCTCTTTCGCTCGCTCGCTCTCGCTAATTAACCGAGTTATTGCATTCCATTTGAAACTGGAAATGAAGAAGTACTGTGAAACTGGGTGAAGTGTCGCTCTCGACAGTCGTCAGTTATTGGTATTTGCAAGTGCGCGATTTTGCAAAAAAATCAGCTTGACAGTTATGTAAAAAAAAACACACAAAAGAAACGGGAAGAAAATCATATGAACTCTATTGTGATTCGTTGATGTAGCGTATATTAAACATATAGAGTCATTATTACAAAAATTATATCATTCTGATAACAAAAATAAAACTATCCGGTTTTTTACTTCAAAAGTAGACTTGTCCAAGTACTATGACAAACTAATATGGCAATCTCACCCTATAAAAAGTTTTTAGATTTGTCTGAGGTCGCCATTAATCTTACGCGAAATATATTCGCTACTTAGAGAAACTTTTACGGTATATCCTGTGCAATATGAAATATCCTGTATCTTTCCTCATACATATAAACTTTGACCTTACTCTCAGGCATGCGTTATCTCTCTTTTTTTTAATGGATATTTTTACGCTGCGGATCTTGGCGGCTGCCAATCTCGCTGAGAGCTAATCTTAAAACCCTACGCAAATCCGATAATTCGATTATATTATAAATATTGCATCATACATAAAATTATATTATAGATAAATAAATTCGCTATTCAGTTTTACGAAAAAAGAAAATACTTCCATAAAAATTATCATAAAAATTCTAAATAAACATCCCTATTTATTCTACATCTATTTAAGAGATTTTTCCTCTTTTATCTAAGATCTTCAAGACCTTCGAGCAATTTCAAGGCTAAAGCTTGAGCAAGCAAATAATCGGTCCGAAACCAATAAAATAATACGGGCTAACAACAGCTGGCAGCGGAACAGGAAACTCGTCACGCGGGATACAGGAGTCCCTTTAGTAACGGGAGATCTGAAGGGGACCTCTTCCATTGAAACGATTCTTACTTTTTTTTCGTGGAAAGCCGACCCGACGTTTTCTCAGGGGGGTTGTCGTTTGCCGCACGTTGTGAGACTCCCTATCGCGAGGCATCCCAGACCATTCAGCAGCCTAACGACGAAGGGCCGACAATGCTCGAACGCTCTGGACCATTCCGCATGCTGCGAAGACCCGGAGATCGGCTTCCGCGAAGAAAAAAGTCAAATCGCACGAGAAAAACCATGCTTTCTACACTGTGCGTCCTTCAATTTCTTCCTCCTCTAAAAGCCACGTTTCATTTCGAATGCAGAAAGTTTCAAGAAAGTATCGCTGAGAGATACACCTCTTTACGTTTTATATGCTTAAATGTATGCCTTTCGTTTCGTTAATTCGGTATCGTCCGATGGTATGCGTGTATGCGTGCGTACACATGACTTGCAAAAATATATTAATTTGCAAAATTCAAACGTGAGTCATACAGATAGCCTACTTTCGACTCGGAATGAGATGCATTTTAAATTCAAATTTAGCCCGAGCTTACTGCGTTTGACAAATTAAATTTCGCGTATAGTATCGTCCAATTACATCGCGAATGAAAGTTCCATTAGATTTGTGAATAGTAATTGAAGTTTTCGCCGGGCAAGCATCGTGAAAAACTGAATTACACCTATTGCGCACGAAATTATTATTGACACTGAAACAATTGTCGCGCCTCGCGGATGCCGCTCATCAAAATCGTGAATTGATGATTTTGAAACGCACTGTATAATACAGTAGTCGCGCCCTTCATTTTACGGGTCCTCCTGTAGATTTGATAGAGAATTAAATATTTGTCCGCCTGGATTACATTTAGAACGAAGAATTATTTTTAACAGTATCGTTTGTCCCTTTGACATTTCATTTTTCGCGACTAGTGTTGAGCTCTATTTCGATTGTGGAGCACTCTTCCTCACTCTCCCTCCCTCCCCCTCACTCTGTCTCTCTCTCTCTCTCTCTCTCTCTCTCTCTTTCTCTCTCTCTCTCTCTTTTGGTTTATTCCATGCCGAGAATAAAGAAGCGCGAGATAGCGACGGGAGCAAGTGTCAGCGCGCAAAATGGAAAGCACGATGATGAGACATAATAAATACTCACCGAAATACTTGTCCGGTTCAAGACCCGAGTCCTTGTCGAGGCCGCATATCACGAAGTAATCCGCGAACCGCAGTGGATGTTGCTCCGGGCCGCGCGTTATCCCCAGACTCCCGTTCATCTTTCACGAGACGCGCGATTTGCAGCAGCAGCAGCAGCAGCAGCAGCAG